GACATTTTTCTGAGAGATACAATCCCCTAAAGATAGATAGATAGATAAAGAATAGCCTGACATAGATACCAAGAGACTGGTATTGATAAACAGAAGATAGTTCTTTGTAAGGATAGTTGAGTATTTTCATATTGTTATCCGGTTTTACATTTTAAATAGATTTTCTCTTGGCGCGTGGTCAAATAGCTAGTTAACGTTCTAAATATGAGGCCCGAGTTTCTGTTATCACAATTAGTTAGACAAGAAGGTGTCTTCTTGATGCATCCTGAGGAGATAATCCAAACATGCGGCGCTGTTGAAAACCATACTGTTGTGGAATAGCTGAACTCCCCCACAAGAGGGACTGGCCTAAGACAATTTAAACAGCACTCTCTCTTACTGAGGGAGAGGAGTTAACGATTAACTGTTTATTACATTAGTCTGTTGTTCTCAACTGTGTACCATATTATTCTCCGTAATAAACTACTTCTTATTTTCTATATGTGGTTCAAACTTTCCTATTTACGACACATTTTAACATTTGAATCCTTCGTCACTAAATGTTGCGTCGTAAATAAGAAAGGTTGAAAAACATATACAAAATAAGTAGTAATTTATTCCGGAGAATAATATGCTACACGGTTGGGAACACAGATTAATGCAATAAACAGTTAATCCTTAACTCCTTGGTATTCATTTACCACACAAGGGTGGATGTGGCACAAGACCGTTTTTTTTACGTGATACGTTCTGAGCCGGTAGGCTCGGACAAAAGTTGCCCGTAGACCCGATATACACGGAGTCGAGTAACTGTACACATCCCCAGACGAGACTCTGCCCTTCGGCATAGCCTGGTCTGAGTTCCTCTCTGCCCAGAAGTAGAGAATCGACAAGCAGAGTTATATGTAATTGTTAACTCCTCTCACTCAATAAGAGAGAGTGCTGTTAAATAGTCTTGGACCAGTCAATCTTGTGGGGGTGTTCAGCTACTCCATAAAACATACCAAACGTTCAAAGTCTTATGAATGAAAATGGGTAAACGAAACTGTTCGAAATCCATCGATAGTTGTATTAATGAGCAGACAAAAACTGTTCAGTGTTGATTAGCAATCTACACAGAGAGTGTGACATGGTTAAAAAAAAAAAAAAAACAAAAGAAAAAAACTTTTATTCATCAGCCTGGTAACCCGTTATAATGTATAAATGCGAAAAAAAAACATTGACCAAAATTCTTAAGTCACATGAGAAGCTCAATATGCCAAAGATGTTTTCCATGTTACATTTTTACTTTCTTTTCGTTCTTTTAGCCCGTATAGGAAACAAAGCTAAAGGACATAGTCTAGGCTGCTATTTAACCCATAGCCGGGGAAAGGGAGCAAAAATGAATTTGTGCAGAAATAAATGCGGCAGAGTAAACCGGAGTTTAAATACATTCAGCCACTTGCACTTACCGCGTCCATAACATTCACATTGTCCGCGAAAACATTTCCTTTATCAATTCCATCTTTGTACGATATATTTCGTGCACCAATGCGCACACACGTACACGCACGCCGTCTTTGTAATCTTACAGATAACAACAATGAAGCGTGTTTAATGGTACCAGTCAATTTGAAAAGACAACCAGCGTGTAAACCCATTGCCCTCAGCCATTCTCTTCTCGTCAATGACATACTTTGATGTTGCCGGCTTTTTGACACTCCTCTTCGAGAGTCTCATGAACAAAAGAGCAATCTAATCCAGTTAATATGAAATAGAGAAATAGCTGCTCTCTATTTTTGAACATGTAACAAAACATTGTCTGACATATGACTACCATATAAGTGGTTCTTGTTGGTGTGTTTGCAAAAGAAGTTATAAGCAAAGACGTATTCAGAGATGCATGTGAGAAAAACACACACACACACACACACACACACACACATATATATATATATATATATATATATATATATATATATATATATATATATTATGAAATGGACAAAGTCCGACAATTATTTTAAGACATTTTTATGTTTATATAAAAAGAATGTATAAACATAAAAATGTCTTAAAAATAATTGTCAGACTTTGTCCATTTCATAATGTGTGACGTCATTTGTTTATATTTGGATACGCCATGAGCAGATATGAATGTACGTAAGAGAATCATGGAAGATTGAAGTTTAAAGGCAGTAAATTCGACCTTGTTAATCGAGCGATTCTCTGTGGCTCAACCGGTTAAGAGCACATCAAGCTAAATGACGGTTCCGTATAGGATGCAGGTTCGAATCCTGTCGGAGAATGAATATTTTCTATGAAAATTTCTCGGACATTCAGACCGATAAATGTTGTTTAATACTGCTTGTTATAAACAGGTTTGTCTGGCTCTTTAGGTTTAACTAGGTCTGCTCTACTTAACGTATTGAGCACTTTATTTAGTTATTTTGCTTACTCGTATCTGTTTTTTTTCTCTTTGGACTTTGGACATGCATGCTAGACGATTAGTTTCGGCTGACGTACATGTTATTTGTTCATTTCTTTTTTTCCCTTTGGTATTGGTTTGATTATTTGCAAATCAAGACACCGAAGGTTTTCCGGACGAGTATAATTTCTTATACTTATGAGATTATTACTAGTATATATATATATATATATATATATACAAGGTTCAATTGATAAATTGTCGTCTAAATTATGCAATAATTAGCATAACACTGATACCTCAATTTTACAGATATATTTACCAAAATAACACGGAAATATCTTCAAATGCTAAAGAGTAAATTGCTTCAATAAAATCACCATTGGTTTAACCACAGACACCAGACGATTTCGGAATCTCCTGCAACTCTTTTGGACAGTCTTCTTGCTTAAGTTGGTGAATGCTACCATAATCCTTGCCTTCAGTTCATCTTTCGTCTTAGAAGGAGTTTTGTTGGTCTCTCGCTCAGCTGCGCCCCACACATAAGAATCATGTGGGTTGCAGTCTGGGGAGTTAGGTGACCAGGCGTAAGGGGTAATGTGATCCCAGAAATTGTCTAACAGCTACGACTCTTGTGGCATGGTGTAAAGTTCTTTTGCCAAACATAGGGTCTTCCAGCAGCCACCCACTTAACCCGGGGCAACACGACCCCTCCCTCAGAGGACTAGATGTCAGCCTCCGTGTTGAATCTAAGGCCCTGTGGGAAGATGAATCGAGGCATAACGTCATCATCACTAGTGATCACTCCTAACACCTTAGTATCACCATTAGACTCATCGAAGAGTTTTCGAATCCTCTACACTGTTCTTACATTGATACGCAAACACCCTGAAATGTTAGTACTGGATTTTCCGGCATGAATGGCAAGCAGTAGATCATGCTGTTTCCAAATTTCTGATGGAGTGATTTGCGTCATGTCACTCTTCTTTTCACAGACGTTGCTCAATTGGCCCCGCTATACTATGCATTCAAAAAAAATCACAAACACACAACACGCATGCGCAAAATAAAAAATGGCGACAATTTACTCATCGCACCACACATGCGCGCATATATATATATATATATATATATATATCCGAATGTAATGAGAACGAAAATGATATATAAATTCTAACGTTCACAGCATTAATTTGAAAGAGTGCTCAATACTGAGAGTAGAGCAATTTTCATACAAATGGAAAAAAGGAAGCGACGTTCCACATACGGTCTGCATACGAGCAGAATTGTTCATAACCATTTTGGTTTTCACCAGTCGAGGTGCAACTAAATGCATCGAAACGAGGTTGCATCTTTGTAGTAAGCAAATTGTTTTTGTCTATATGAAAGAATTATAATATATATAAGACATTTTATGTTTATACATTCTTTTTTATAGATACCAATATTTAAGTATAGGTGACGGTGAAACGTTGGTAGGTTTGTCTGGCTGTATAGGTTTAACTATCTCTCTCTCTCTCTATCTATATATATATATATATATATATATATATATATATATATATATATATAGTGGGATGGCTTGAGTATATTTACACACTGTTATGTGCACTTATGTACATATGCGCATCTATATATGTATACGCTTTTCCCCCTCTCTTTTTCCTTTATTACTTTTCTGCCACCCCCAAGATTTCCAAAACTTTTACCAAATGTTTTATTTGATCGTTCCCTATTTTCTTTTCCTTTTATTTCTTTTAATTATATTTTATTGCTATATATTCCTTTGTTCCTCCTCACATTTTTTTCTCGTCAGATGTTAACCTAACTACAGTCCCTCGTTCTGAAATGGTCGAACAATTTTCGATTACGCTAGCTACACGCGAGAAGTCTCCCCAATTCCGCAACCTATAACTCTCTTCATCTATGTTTAGAATCTTACGCCCCCTACTACTACTAATAGACCGGCCTAACACTTTT